TCGGGTTAGGATTTGCCCCCTATGGCTCTAATTCTGCTCTCAGCTCTATCAGTATAAATCAAACACCCTTGTAAAGGAGTTGCTCTGTTTACGGGTGTGAGTGAGAGCTGGAGTATTTACAGTCTGGGAATGCCAATACCAGCGCTGAGAAAGGCAAAGCCCTAGCCCTTGCTCCCCTAAGTGAGGGCAGAGAGCCTGCTGACCTCAGGAAGTGGTGGCAGGAGCGGGGCCGTATTCGGTAGCTAGAGGTAGGTGCCCTGGTTAGCTGGATGTGTGTAAGTCTAAATAAATAATAAGGGCCATCCAGCTGTTGGGGTTGCCCCCCATCCTGCTTTCTGGAGGCAAGTGAGCTCTTTGGGGGAAGCCCTGTTGTCTGTCCCCCCTTTAGGCTGCCTAGCACAGCACTGGAGCAACATGCTGGGGAAGGGAGTGCTGGCCGCTAGCTGTGGGCGGGGGCATGGAGGGTGACTGAGGCTGGATGGAGAGAGGAGGCTCTAGGGTTGCGCTCTCCGGCTGCTGTGCAAACTACCAGGGAGTGTCCCTGCCTGGGGAAAGGCCACCCCCACGTCCCGCCGCCGCAGCACCAGCAGGGCCAGGCCCACGTGGCACTGAGTGCCCGGCCCAGGAGAGCGCCGACAGGGCAGTGCTGGCTGGAGGCTCGCCCGCCTCCCTCCTGTCCCGGATCGCAGCAGAACGCGCCGCCCGGCCGGGGCTGGCTCTGCAGGGCAGAGGGGAGGCACAGCCCCACCCCAGGGTAAGGCGAGCCTGGGAGAGGGGAACCCCCCAGCCAGAGGCAGGGGGAGCAGGGAGTGAGGGGGGCCCAGGTGAGCAGAGCCAGCAGCTGCTGCGTGGGGGTATGTGAGCCCGGGGCTAGATAACCGGCTGCTGGTGGGGTGGGGCCTGTGGGCTGCCTGGACCCCACGCGCGGAGCGAGCACCAGGGGCTGCAGTGCGGTGGGTTGTTGCTTCTGGGGCAAACAACTTCTGGTTTGTTTTTCACTCACCCTGTAAATGGGCTGCCCGGAGCCTGCCACTGACTGAGCAGAGAACCAGGGGCTGCTGCTACCTGCCCCCCTCCAAGGGCAAAGCAGGCTGGGGGGGAACCAACAATGACAGGCAGGAGAGGAAAGGAAGATTAGGGAGACTCAGGAGCAGAAGGTGCAGGATCTTCACAAGCAGGCGAAGGCGGGGGCAGGGCGCCGAGAAAAAGCTGCAGGTGCCTCCCGGATCCAGGAAACTCCTGCTCCCAGATTGAAGGGGGGCAGGGCTCGCCCTCCTTCCTGGTCCTTTCTAGGACTCGTCAGCTCAGAAGTTCCACCTACACCTGCCCGGCGCACGCACCTGCCTCGCTCGGCTCGGATGGCTGGGAGGGGTTCGCAGAGCCTCGTGTCTGGGGATGGAATGACCGTGAGCCGAGCTTCGGAGACTATGCATTTAGGGGCCCCCTGGGCAGGCTTGAGGAGGTGTGCAAGGTCATGTTTGTGGCTGGTTAAGCTAGTTTCGTCAAAGAGGCTACAGAGATCTAGTCTGTATCCTGGTAAATCTTGGAAGGAATAGCTGTCCCATCTGTGAGTTTCCTTGGACATCTCTTATTCAAATACAAACAAAAATAATAATTAATAATTATTAATATTTAAAAATTAATAATAGGTGGGTGGCTGTATTTTCTGTAGGTTGTCAAAGAGGTGAGAGCTCTCTCATCAAGAATGGTTTGATTCACTTCAGTCTTTGATTTATACCATACTATTCATGATAGTAGTGCCTACGGGAAGATGAGAACAGGACCCTGTTGTGCTGGGTGCTGTACAAACAGAGTAAGAAACAGTCCCTGCCCCAAAGGCCTTACAGTCTAAATAGACGGGACAGACACAGGGTGTCGGAGAAAGAGAGAGAACATACAACCAGAGTGAACAATGCAATGGTGGCAAATGTCATTTACTTCTGTGATTTATTTTATTATATAAATCCTTCCAGTGGGGTTTGTTCTTGTTTTGTCATTATAGCTGGTCATTTACAGCATAAGTGTAACAGTGTCTAGTTAGCTAAGGTGATGGGGACCTTATAAACAACTTTAAATAGAAGTAAGTCAAGTCAGGCTGTAAAATTGATATACTACTAGAGAGAGATTGTCCTTAATATGTAATACTCTGTTACTATTGTTTTCAAAATATAGAAGAGCAACAAAATTAGCTTGGATATTACATTACCTGGATAACATTGTTGTATTTGTATATAATCAAACGTTCCTGAGTGTGCTATTTAAGTTTGTTGTGCTGAATCCTATTTGATTTATCTTTAATTCATTTCTTCCGTGGGGTCCCCAAAATTAGATGTTTTTAAAAACTTCACCATGATGAGGGTTTAGATGATTTATTGAAACAAAGTGCTCTAAGCTGCTGGGTCCCATCACAAAACAAACCTTGAAAGTAACTCCTATGACAGGAAGGGAGCCCCTTCAGAGGTCATTGGACCACACACAATTGCAGTTGGAAATGTTTTAACCTCTTTTCTTTAAAAGAGGCCATCTGTTGAATAGCTTAGAGTAGTGATTTTGGCTGAGAAGCTTCTTTAACGTGATTATGAATGAAATAGTCTTAGTTTGAAAAGGTACAATGGCAGTTTGAGCTGCAGAATGCACACTAGAGGCTGTAATTTTCATCTTCCAGAATAAGCCTTTATAATTAAATATGAAAGTATCTCAGCTTCCAAATTACTTGTCACCATAAAAACAAACAAAACCAGTATCTCAATGCTAAATGAATGCAAATATTTGTGATACATGTATGTGTATAAATCATTGTAGAATTAAGTTATAGGAAAGGGAGAAAAATTAGGGAGGCTGTTCCATACAGCAGTAGCTGCAGAAGAGAAAGTTCTCAGACCAACAGGGGTGAGATTGTGTGCAGGGAGAGAGAGAAGTTAGTGATAGACAAGCAGAGGGATTGGGGAGTAGAAAAGAGAGAGCAGGGATTCTCAGAGACTAGAGTGAGTAGAAGAAGGAAGAAAAATCTGTTGGAGGATTTAAAAAGTAGGACAGCAAAATATCCTGGCAAGGTTGCACCTCAGTCCTGTAACCTATACCACCGTCCACATGCAAGTTATAAATTTCAGGACTGGGGCCTTACTATGTGAAAGATGTTTACATTTGCCTTTGGAAGATATGGTAAATGAATGATTACTTCTTGATATTCCAAACTTGCTGCAAATGTACTTTTGCTGCCAGGAATGCTTTACCTATGTGTCCCCCCAGGTACTGCAACAAGCATATGGGTCTTAGAAATGAACACCGTAAAATGAACAAGGACAGCGATGCTCAACTTTTACTTCCAGGTGCATCTTCCATAAATAAAATGAGTTTTAGTGATCACAGTGGAGCTTTACTAAATAAAATCTCTTCCCATTAAAGAGCAGCCTGATGCCTTGTGGAACGCTTTGAAAAATATTCTACTTAAAAGCAATTTTGCCTGCATGTCCTGTATTTTCCTCACTCCGTTTTCATCATCGGGGCTATTTGCATAAAAACACAATCTTCGTTCCTTAAGAGTTCATCTGCTCCTGCTGCTGCTTCCCTGCTTGAAGCCCCAACCGCCCTATAACAGCAACCAATTGTTTTGTAAAGGATTTTTTTTTTTTTTTGCTTCAAAGGGGTGGGGGAATGAGCAGCAGGGAATCAATGAACCAAATGCACGGGGTAAAGGAACACCTCCTGTGCTGTCCAATGTACCAGGCATAGCAGAAATGCTAGAAAGGAGGATCATCAGTGCAACTACTGGGGAGCACAGATGTTGTTTCTATACTAGTGTGCTCACAATGTTCTGTCTGAAGGCAAAGGCAGAATTAGAAAGGAAGGCTGGTTAAGGAAGGGTGGTCTTGTGGTTAAGGCCCTGGGCTGGAACATGAGTGATCTGGATTTAAGTCCCATCTTGCCTCCCAATGTTCTGTGTGACCTTGGGCAATTCTCTTAATTTCTCTGTCCCACTGTTCCTGCAAGCTGAGGACAATAATCTTCCTTTCTCTGTTTAGATTGTAAGTTCCTGGGGACAGAGACTGTCTCTCCCTATGTGTTTGTACAGTGCCTAGCGCAGTGGATCGCCGAGCTCAGTTGGGGTCTCCAGGCACTACTCAAATACAAATAAGTAAACATGGATTTTTGTAATCATGATTGATTCTTTGTGTGTGTATTTGTTAATTCCTGCTACCATGAAGTGTAATTAATACTGATGTTAGAAACCCAAAGGAACAAAAAAGTTCCCATCATCAAATTTAAGAACTATCAGAATACATGCTAAACATCATTGTTCAATCCTTACACTGTTGTTACGTCCTTTGCCCCAGCTGAGATTGGTCTCTATAAATACATCAGGGGATAAACACGGGGGAGAGGGAAGAGCTATCTAAGATAAAGGACAATGTTGCACAAGAATGAATGGATATAAACTGACCATGAATAAATTTAGGTTGGAAATTAGATTTCTAAGCATCAGAGGAGTGAGGTTCTGGAATAGTTTGCCATTGAAGTAGTGCAGGTAAGAAAACTAACTAGTTTTAAGATGGAGCTTGATATGTTTCTGAATGGGATTATACGACAGGGTGCCTGTGATAGCCGGGGACTGGACTCGATGACCCAGGAGGTCGCTTCCCATCCTCTGCTCCTTACTCTCATCTGTTAATATGCATTTCTGTTTTGACCGTAAGCTGCTTGGGGCAGGGACCTGTCAAGCTATCTGTTCTGTGACATGCCTGGCATACCTTGCCTTGAGGTATGATACAAATAATAAAATAATTTGAGGTCAGGACTTTGTTTTCTTGTCTTCATACTAAACATGCCCTATCAAGATGCCTTATTAGAGGCAGCTCCTATATTTCACATGCTGGTGTCATTATAAGGGTATGGTTTGAAAGGATGGTGCTGCTTAAATGGCAGATTTGCGCTTCTTTGTCTTCTGCAGAATTAGAAAATTACAGTAGGTTTGTCTTTCTTTTTCTTCCCCAGCGCTTCTGACTAGGAGTAACAAAACCATGAATCCTCATCTGTGGAGATTTCAGCGCAACAGGAATTTGTCTGAGAGGAATAGCTGACCTTATACTCTGCCCCCCAGACTTGTGATTGGCATTATGGCTGCACGTTGGACATACAGCTCTAACATAAAAGATAAAATGTTTGTGCTGAGCAGCGCTGCTGGCCTGAGGAGTGACACGCACGTGCAAGAGCTGTTCCACGAGGAAGCACAACAGGTATGTTGAAAAGGCTCCTTCTCCCCAAGCCACTAATCTCTTGAGTTCCATCTTCAGCCCCTTGTGATGTCATCATGAACTGGCAGATGAATAAACTGACATAACAAATATCTGAAATTAATCAGGTTATGTCAAAATCACGTGTTTCAGTAAGAAAGGTTTTCATTCCTTCTTAGGCCTTGAACATGATGGATACCTTATTACCCTAGTGAGATCCATCAGAGTTGCAAGATGGTCACCCTTTCTCAAGGTCTTATGTTTCATCCAGTCAAAAGTAGCCTCTGCAGGGTCTGGTCCGGTCCATGGAAGTTCTATGAGACTCCTTGGATTAACATCTTGTCTGGATGTCAGGCAAGGAAGGGGCCTGTCTTCTGTGTTGGTTTCCAGAGAGCGGTATAGGGTATAGTCACCTTCCCCAAACTCTAACTCTTGGCTTCGTCCACTATGAGATTCTAGCCATGCTGGTACCAAAAGGGGGTGGGTTTGTGTTTTTTGTTTTAAGCAGCTGAAGGAATGAACTGGGGCCCTACTCCCTGCCCCTCAGGCCATGCAGGAGAGTCATTGCAAACTTCTGCTTGGAGCACAACTGAGTGTGGTGAATGGTTCACAGTACAGCACAGAGTCTCAGACAGCTCTTTCCAAGGGCAGCTCTGGTAACATTTGGAAAATTGCTGCTGTCTGGTTGTCTGTAGGCCTTTTTTTTTTTTTTTTAAGATTCTACTACCAAACATGATGGTCCATAATTTGAAGGAGGATGGGCTAAAGTCTGGAACCGAGTCTTGTTTAAACAGCTTGGAAAATTGAGGTACCTGGGTGAGAATTTGGCTAGGATACAGGGGTTAACTAGGTCATACAGAAAAGTGCCTTGATGATTGCATGTTGTCGAGACTTTGATTTTACATCTCTTCTGAAAGACCCCATCTCTAATGACATAGGAACCCTTGCCATCAGACGGGGGGCCTGGGTTCTGTAACCACGTCAGCACCACTTACCGAATCACCAACAAATAGCAATAACATAATCATTAGTAAAGTCTTTTAAATGTTGTTTATTTCCAGTTCCCCTAAAAAAAATTTCCAAATTAATTTGCTCACTTGATGGCTTTCCTATGTAGGACCCAGTTACTCTGTACCCTGGAATGCTGTGTATTGTACTTGACAGTGGGTTAAAGCTTTTTGACACACCTGAAACTGTTAAAAATGAATGTTTTAGTGTTAAAGTTATTCTGTTACCTGCAGTTCTGCATGACTCTATATCATTGCGATCATATTGGTTATGCTGTATATGCCTAAAGTTATAGCATGTTAGGAAGCAAACCCATGGTTAATAGCAGTCTTCTGTTATGACTGTATTGGCCTTGGCTGAGCTTTTCAAAAACAGGGGCCTAATGTTAGGCTTCTAAGTCCACATTTAGGTGCCTAAATAAGTGCCCTTATTTGTCAAGAGTGCTAACCAGCCAGTAACACTCACTTAAATAACAAGCTAAGTTAGGTATCTGCTTACTGTAATGACAAAAAAAAAAAAAGTTTGTACTGTTAGCCCTGCAGAGCCAACGCAGAGAGAGTAATTTCCCTGACATTGTGGGGTCCTCGAGCACTGGTGCATGCTCTCCCTCCTATTCTCTGCCTATAGCACATAATAGTCTAGTCTCCTGTGGGCTGTAATACTTTGGTCTAATTTTTGTTGTTGGGTTTAGTGTGTGGGCGCTGGCTGATGGTGGTGGCCTGTAGTATACAGGAGGTCAGACTAGATGATCTGGTGGTCCCATCTGGCCTTAAACTCTGTGACTATGAATGAGCTGGATTCTCTTTCTTCTTGTGTAGCTTCAGCAGAATTGCTTACTAAATTCCCACCACTTACATATGTACAAATCTAGCAAAAATGTTGGGACTGCACATGTGTAACCAAAGGGTTAATTTGGCTTGTGGAACCTTTGGTACTGGTGCTGATCCATGAGAAAGAAAGACCCCCACCTTGTCTTTCAGAAACCCAGGCTGAGTTTGCAGGGCTGGCAGTTAGAAAAAACGTCTTTGAATAGTTTGATAGTCACTGAGGGAAAATAATCATGGAACCTTGATGCCTTTTCTATAGAGTCACTTTTCAGAGGAGAGCCACGGTTAACCATGCGGAAGCTGACTTAGCATCACTCCATATTCTGCCCAGGCATTACATTCCTTCCCCACTCACTCTCCAGCTTGTCACCATGTAAACTGCATGTGCTGTAGCAGAAGTGTTCCAAGGTGGTGGACATGTCCTTTGCTGGAGCAGGATGAGTTAACCCAGAGCACTTCCCAGCCTTTAGTCATAAGCACATAAGAATGGCCAAACTGAATCACACCAATGGTCCATCTAGCTGACTATCCTGTCTTCCAGCAGTGGCTGGTGCCAGATGCTTCAGATGGAATGAACAGAACAGGACAGTTATTGAGTGATCCATCCCCTGTCGTTCACTCCCAGCTTCTAGCAGTCAGAGAGTTAGGGACACCAAGAGCATGGGTTTGCATCCCTGACTGTCTTGACTAATAGCCATTGATGGGCCTATTCTCCATGAACTTATGTAATTCTTTTTTGAACCCAGTTATAGTTTTGGCCTTCATAAAGTTCCCTGGCAACAAGTTCCACAGGTTGACTGTGCATTGTGTGAAGAAATACTTCCTTTTGTTTGTTTTAAACCTGCTGCCTATTAATTTAATTGGTGACCTCTGGTTCTTGTGTTATGTGAAAAGGTAAATAACACTTTGTTATCACTTTCTCCAGACCAGTCATGATTTTATAGCCCTCTATCATATCCCCTCTTAATAGTCTCTTTTCTAAGATGGACACTCCTAATCTTTTTAACCAGGGATTTATATAGTGGCATTATTATATTTTCTGTCTTATTATCTATCCTTTTCATAATGGTTCCTAACATTCTGTTGGCTTTTTTGACTGCCGCTGCACAGCAAGCAGATGTTTTCCGAGAACTGCCCGCAATGACTTCAAGATCCCTTTCTTTAGTGGTAACAGCTAATTTTGACCCCATCATTTTGTATGTATAGTTGGGATTATGTTTTCCAGTGTGAATTACTTTGCACTTATCAAAGCTGAATTTCATCTGCCATTTGTTCCCCAGTCATCCAGTATTGTGAGATCCATTTGCAACTCTTCACAGTCTGCTTTGGACTCAACTATCCTTGAGAATTTTGTATCATCTGAAAACCTCGCCACCTCACTGTTTATGCCCATTTTCAGAATATTTATGAATATGTTGAACAGCGCTGGTCCCAGTACAGATCCTTGAGTGATCCTGCTATTTCCACTCTCCACTGTGAAAACTGACCATTTATTCCTACCCTTTGTTTCCTGCCTTTTACCCAGCTACTGATCCATGAGAGGACCTTCCCTCTTATCCCATGACTCCTTACTTTGCCTTTGATGAGGACCTTGTCTAAGGCTTTCTGAAAGTCCAAGTGCACTATATGCACTGGATCACCCTTCTTCATGTGTGTGTTGAAATCCTCAGAGTCAGCGAGGCACCATTTCCCTTTACAAAAGCTGTGTTGAATCTTCCCCAACATATCATGTTCATCTATGTATCTGATAATTCTGTTCTTTGCTATAGTTTCAACCAATTTGCCGGAAGTTAGGCTTACTGGCTTGTAATTGCCAGTATCACCTCTGGAGCCTTTTAAAAAAATTAGCATCACGTTATCTGCCAGTCTTCTGGCATACAGACTGATTTAAGCATTAGTTTACATACCACAGTTAGTAGCTCTGCAATGTCATATTTGAGTTACTTCAGAACTCTTGGGCATATGCCCTCTGGTCCTGGTGACTTATTACTATTTAATTTATCAATTTGTTCTGAAACTGCCTCTATTGACACCTCAGTCTGGGATAGTTCCTCAGATTTGTCACCTAAAAAGAACAGCTGAGGGATGGGAACCCGAGGAGAGCCCAAGTACACTCCACCATGACTCCATTAATGGGGAACCTGCTGATTGGCAGCTCCTGTAACAGATCTTCTTGTGCCTGATAAAAACCTGACTGTATAGCTTTTACATGTAGCGTCCTGTGCCAGATTGATTGAGATGTTGTGACCCTGCCTTCTGTACAGTAGAGACCGTTTTTTTGTGCTTCGGTGTGGTGTTACTTGTTTGATTGAGTTCTGTCTGACAGAGAGAGCAGATTAAGGGCCAAATAGTGGTGCTTTCTGCATCCATGTTGTGGAGCCTGCAATAGTTTCATGGCACTGCTGGGGATCTGTGGACCTCGTGGTCCTGTCCCATCACTGAAGGTTTCCCCTTTCCCTTGATATACTGCTCTTTGTGGGTGACGTCAGGCAAAGCGACGCTGTAGCAGCCATGCGCAGAGCACCCTGTTGTAGGAGTCTTGGCAGGCCACTGTGCCACTTCTGCAGTCACCCAGATGACAGCATGGAGATAACCAAAGGTTTTACTTTCCTCTAGGTATCTCAGACACAGACCAAACCCTGGTGGAAGATACAGCTGTTCGTCTGGGAGCCAGTGCTCTTTGGAACCTGGGATGGCGTCTTTACTTCTTGCATGATCAACATTTTTGGAGTGGTTCTTTTTCTGAGGACTGGATGGCTAGTGGTGAGTGAAGGACAAAGTGGGTGACACTGTGGGTTAAGTAGTAGGTTATTCTCTCCCCCACCACAGTTGTGTTTGATTTTGTGCTTCGTGAATCGGTTAAATCTCTTGGTTTTTCTTCCGGCTCTTCTGAAAATGTAAATGACTGTGTTTAAAAATACACTGAGGCTGGGGCCGTTTTCTCTGTAATGCGCTGTTCTGCAAATGCCAAACAATCCTGACAATTTATAGAAAAGTCCATGTGTAATGGTGTATCCAAATATAACTTTCCAGGTAAAATGTATTGCCATGGTTACACATCCTCCACTGTCCTCCTCCAAGCAGCGCTGAAACAGTCGTATTTCTAACATGGCAGTTTTAAATGGAGACCCTGCTGTTCTGACTAAAGGGCCCTGGATTGCACAACATTCTCCTTGATAGCCAGGAGAGTCCCATGCGTGGCTCAAGGGTAGCATATATCCCAGTGTCATGGCTTTAAGAGTGAGCCTGATACTGCAGCATGAAGCAGGATCCAGTCTCGTTCAGTAAATTGTGCTGTTCCCTGCAGCTTCCATGTAGGAAAAGCAAAGCTTCCCGAGGGAATGTTGGAGCTGAACCTTGGACTTAATGTCATGAGCCCAGCTGTTCTCAAAGGTACAAGAAGAAACTTTTAACATCTAGAATTTGATATAGCGCCTTTCTTCTGAAAGGGTAGGGAACTGTGTGTTTTTACAGGGAGAGAAATTCAGGGCCAGGTTCTGATCTCCCACGGCACCAGGGTATATTTGGAATAATGTCAACGAAGTTATGCAGTCTGAGAGGCGACTCAGGCCCGTAATAAAGCGATATCGATGAATCCTGTTGCCACTACTGGGAGGAAATGAAGCAGCTGTTCAAAGACATATAGCATTACTTCACAAGGAAGTGTAGATACGACCAAATCCAACTGAATCTGCAGGGGAAACATTTAACCCAGTCCTGCCAGGTTCTGAGTGCCTTCAGTTCCCTAGCATAACCACTTTAGCTCACTTCCTGATTATATCATCTACATTTGGCATATTGGTTCAATGGCCCAGTGTAGTTCCCACATTGGCTGTTGGGAACAATACTCTTGTGAGAATTGTCCTGGGGTCTACAATGACCAAAAGGGTCCAGGCCTTCATTCAAGACTGAACCTCCAGAAACCCCCTCTCCCTTAGTTCCACCTAGGGGATTAGTTCATTACTGACTCAGAAAGCTGATTGCTGCCTACTGAATCACCAGTGTAACTTCCTTCAGCTGCCATGATTTTCCTTGGTGGTCTCTCCTCCATGAATCATCCAGGCCCAATCCTTGCCTTATGAAATCTGATAGTCCATTGCCAGCACACGTGTCACATCATCAGAAAGATCCTCATTCCCAGTTGGATTACCCAGGGCCCTTTACTGATACCCATTAGCCAGGCATAATAGGTGAGTTTTTTCATCGTTTACTTCCCTTTCCCACATCAATTTCAACTGAGATGTCAGAAAGGTTTCCATAAGCCCTTCATCAACACCATCATATTGCCTTCATCCCTCCCTTTGCTATTTAATAGAAAGGTACTGGTGGCACAGTCAATAAATAAGGTAAAAAATCAAATAGAGGATTTTTAAAAGGGAAATGGGGAGCGATTGAAAATAATAGTATTAGGCCTTGAAGTCACTGGAGCTTCACACAAGCACAGGGGTTTGCTTGCATGGATCTGATTGCAAGATCAGGGCCTTGGATTGTAAAATTTTCAAGACAGCAGGGGTCACGTCTTCCTATATATTTCTGCAGCACCGAGAGACACCCTGATTCTTACTGGAGGTCTTTGGGCCCACATTGAAGTATTAGATAATAATACTAATGATACACTGGGCCTTTAGTCTCAACTGTAGCATGTCCTGTCACGCATGTGTAAATAAGCTTCAGTGTTCCAGTTTTCTCTCTTGCTCTGCATGCTGCTCTGATCCCTGAGTGTGGCGTTCCTTCCCATGATGCATTGCAAGAATGAATTCTGGTGTTTAGGGTCTGTGTTACTGACTTTTTCTTCTGTAGATCCAAATGGACTATCCATTACCACAAGCAGTGGGGAAGAGCTGCTATCCCTCCTGGATGATTAATAGAAGTTATTTGCTACCAGTTAAAAAAAAAAACTATTGAAAGTTTTTCAGTGTATTTAAAAAAAAAATGCAAGTTTTCAGTACTGTCTTAACCTGACTGTACATAATTGAGGCAAAGAAACAATTGTTCCTTTATCTAAAAACAAAACAAAACTAGATTATAAGGGTTCATGTGATGTAGACCCAGCTAGCAGCTGCATTCACAATGAACCCTGGCTTCATTTTCTACTGATCCAATAAAATCAACACCTAAAACAGCAGGATATTGAACCAAAATAAGATTTCACAATGACAGCAACATCCTGGATACGTTTCTCTTTTTTAAAAAAAAAAACTAAAACTCACCAACAACAGAAAGATCTGGGACTTAGACCAGCACAAAATAGAAGCAGCAGCCGCCTGTCGCTGATAAGAAACAAAATGGTGCCAGAGGCCAGCGTGTCCTCAGATACAAGCGCCACTGGAATGGGGAGAGAGGCAGCTTGGCAGCCATCAGCGGAGAGAAATTATGCAAAACCTTACCGTAGTAATGGGGCAGCGCTGTGGGGGTGGGAAGGGGAGGGAGAGGTTTCCAATCCTCTCTGCATTGGCATTGGGTCCTGGATGAGTTTTCAGGGGAAGTGACTGAGATTCAGAGATCAGCGAGTTACACTAGCTGGGGAAGTTCAGCAGGAACATAAAGAGACTCTCTTGACCCTGGAAAAGAGATTTCTACAGCATGAAGAACAAGCATAAGATGTTGAGAACAGGGCTCACAGGAGAAGTATTTGATGCCGGGACTCCCTGAAGTCACTGAACAGTCTCTAATTCTATTTCACTTTTGGAATTCTGACTTGAATAGAAAAGCCCACCAAACGTGGCAAGCTTCAAACTGAAGGCACACAAGGTATGCTGTCTCTTAAAGCTGTAGCTGGTGGGAGGCCATGGGCTATATGTGGCCTGGTTCTATGGCTATCAAGGCACACAAGCTGACTTACCTGCTGCAGTCACCAAAGGCTCCATGGCACATGGTGGCAAGAGCATTACATGTTTCTGGGAAGAATTGGGTTTCCTTGTAAACCTGTGGGCCGAGGGGTTCTTGGATTCTAATACAGATGACCTGCTCGCCCATTTGCCATCTCATAACACAGCTACAGCGGTTGGATACATGGAAAAGGGATTTAAGGTAGGTCTGTTAATGCACCTTAGCAGCTGGGAATTAGAGAACAAGCCAGTGCCATATGCCAAGGCAGCTGTTTGTGGACCTCTGCTCTAGATCAGGAAGTGAAAAGTCACAGGTTGCACAAATCCGCTTGTGATACCACCAGGAGGCGAGCCAATTTCCGTGTTGCAGGCCACTGAACAGGCTTGCTTGAAAGCAGGACTGTCCCAAGCATCTGCGGAAAGCTGGAGGAACACATGGGTGTGGACTGAGATATTGCGTCAGACGAGACGGTGTATAGTCCAGTTAACGACCAGCAAACAATTACTTATAACATGTTTATTTTTTCTCTTGTATATTCAGTCTTTCCTTCTGTTTTTGTCGTTCATTGGTTTGAGTGTTAGCAACATAGTAGTTCTTAGTGGCTTAGATTTTCAGAAGCATTTGATCTCAATCGGAGCTGCTGGGTTCTGAGCCCTTTTGAAAATCCGATCATTTAGGGGCCTAAGAAATGGGCAGTTTGAAAATCCAGGCTTTTATTTCAGGACGTTTTGGGTGCTGAGGTTTTTTGTTTTGTGTTTATCTGAACCAGTATTTGTAACAATCAAAATATGTCTTCCCTCCCCCCCACCCCACCCCCGCTCTTTTTACCTTGTGGCGGATTATTCATGGTTATAAGGGAGTTGTAACTGTGAAACTTTAGCTGAGTAGTGATCTGCCCTTGATAACACCCTGGTGTGTTAAATCTCAGGTCGAGGGATCAGTGAGATAACCTGATGCCCTCAGGAATTTATACAAAGTAGGGCTCTTTTGAGGAGACCCTCACTCACTTGTTGATAAGGGTAGAATTTCCTAGAAAGAACCAGTGGGGATAAATATTATTATTATTTTTATTATTTGTACTGCGGTGGCATCTAGGAGTCCTAGTTATGGACCAAGAGCCTGTTGTGCTAGGCGCTGCACATACACACAACAAAAGGACGGCCCTTAAACCTCAAAGACCTGAACATGTTTCAAGAATTTTACAATTAACATACATTTCTGTGGTTGCTAAATTTACAGGTGAGAAGTGTGTGTTTTATTTAATCTGAATATAAAATAACCTACAATGAATTGACACAATGTGTTATAGTTAACTGGAATCTCAGAGGGTGATGGGTCTTTTTTCCTACCCTGAATAATTTTCCTTGTGTTCTTCGGTGTCTTTTTTTCTCCATTACAGGGAAACACCGGCATTTTAATGGGCATGTTTCTGGTGTCCTTTGTTGTCGTGGTTGCCCTGGTAACTGTCTTATCTGGAATTGGGGTCTGTGAGAGGTGCAGCATCGGAAGTGGAGGAGTCTATTCCATGATTTCTACTGTCCTCGGTGGTCAAGTTGGAGGGACCATTGGCCTCCTTTATATTTTTGGTCAGGTAAAAATGATTGTTACTGCAAGCACGCCCTTGGTCCTTTTCTTCCACGCTCTAAAATAAATAAGATGATCCCACTGAGAAGGAGGGTGGCATGGAAAAGCAGAGTTGTAGTCATATAATTCCATTCCTCTCAGTATGATCAGGCTTGTTGTCACTCATCTACAGCAATACATCAAAGAGTACAGATCAGTCCTGTCATGTTTGAACAGGGGGAATGCTAATGAGGAGGCTAATGATTCCCTCCCCATGTATGGAGCCATCTCTGACACAGTCTGAATTCTCTCTGCTGTCCTGAGGTGCTGGTCATGGGAACAATGACCAAAATAGAATGAAACACAAAAAATGCCATAGCTAAGACAGCTCATCTACAAGCAAGGAAATATTTAAACTGAAGAGGAAAAAGCCTAGGTGGCCAACTGGACAATACAAACTCTACAGATTAGCTGTGGGGTTATACATTTGCCCATAGCGTACTAAATGTTTCCTTATGAGGGTGGAGGAGTAGGAGGAGCACTTGGGGAAAAGAGATTAGGTGGTTTGGAGACAAAGTAGTGTCTGAGCCATTGGGGAAGTGGAGAGGACCCAGAGCCCATGTGGAGGAGGACCTTATGGGTAGTTGATTTTGTGCACAGTTTTGCAGCTCTTTGTTTTTAGAGAAACCCTAATGTGCCACTGAAGTGGTGGATTGAAATTAAAGGTTAAGAAACACAAACAACTATCCCTACTAATAGAAAAGTGATTATTAATGCCCATAGCAATTGAAAAAAATAAAGAGATTAGAAATACCAGAAAAGGTCATGCACAGTGAAGAATTGTTCATTTAAATGCATTAGCTTGCAGCTGTCTTTAAAAGCCTGGCCAATTTGAAAAGTCTACATAAAATACAAATTCAATAGTTACAAGCCAGGGCATGCAAAAAAGTCATACATGTAAGAAAAAGACTTCCCCCAGCCTTTTGCCCTATAATTCCACCAATCTCCCCCCCTGCCTGGGAAAACAACTGAGCTGTGCAGCGTGTCCTGAGGTCATAGAATCTGGGCTCTGGCAGACCATGGATTTACCTAGACAAACATTTTATGTGGGGGTGTGGGGTTTGGAGAGATGAGGAACTGCAGATGGTTAGCAGTGCTGTGTTTTTTCCCAGTGGTTTTCAAACTGGGGTACGCATACCCCTAGGGCTACACGAGCTCTCATTGGGGATACACCAGAAAATTCCTGTAATGGCGGACAACGCATTTTATTTAGTAAGACTTGGCAATCTAATCAATGTTTGATCTCCTTTCAATTAAAACTACAGCCACCGTGAGACTCAGAATCAGAGGCACGACCCCCCAAGGGGGGCACGGAGGAAATTTGGGGGGGTTAATGCCAAAGAGTTGGGCCCTACTTGAAATTACAATTTTTGGTTACTCCTCCCTACCCCAGACAGGCTGGGTGGCCCGCTGAGGTGATTGAGGGGGTGGAGGTGGTGCTCCCGCCCTGAGCTCCACCGCATGGTGTTGCCGCTTGTCCCGCAAAAACTTTCCTCTGCCTCACAGTTTGGTGACCTCTAGAAGCTGTTGCTAAATGGAAGGCAGAAATCTTGGGGGTGGGGGGGAGAGGATAGTTCAAAAACATTTAAAAATTACCCATTTCCATGGTGCATTTATGAAGAAATTGGCTCCACTGTAGAAGTCATAGCAATACCTTTATATGCGTAGAAATATTTCATTCTTCTGGCGAAGGTAGGGTTTATCGAAGGAAAGACAGGCTGTTGCTTCAAGGCCACTGATAGCGTTGAGACTCGCAGCAGCTCCTTCTTTCTCTCCACTCTCTGAATTATCCTTTGCAATATACATACTGTTTCCTTTTACTTGGCCTTGTTATGAAAGTAGAAGGATCCTATTTAACTCCTTCCAAAAACTGGTGTTAATCAGTTGAAAAGAACCCTGAAATCCTAAGTTGCAGTGCTCCCTGCAAACAGCTATATGGCATTTCTCTGTGCTTTCAGGATTCTTTCTTGTATTAGGCTTTTCAGGCTAATGCATTTTGTTTCGAGCCAGGTTCTACTTTTCTTTTCAAGTCTCAAATGCAATCTTTTGTGAATATCCCATCACAACACTAGACGTCCTTTCATAAATTATATTTTTAGAAATTCTCTGTATTAAACACACATATTGAGGGCAAAGTTTTCAAAACTAAGCATATGCAATTACATGGATGCATTGCGAGCACTCATTGTCTGCCTGGAAATACCTGTCCATGAATGCACAGATGCTAAGTTGGTGGAAATCAGTATTGTTCCACGTAAGTCAATAAAGCAGTGCTGATTTACCCCAGCAAAGGATGTGATCTATGGTCTGTTAATCACTAGTTACTAAGGACTTGATTTAACTCTTGTTGAAGTCAATGGAAGTCTTTTGTTTGACTTCCCTGGGAGTTGGATTGTGCTCTTTGTGACTAACTAACCAGATTGGGTCATTTGTCCTGGGACCACTAGATCTAAAAGCATGAGCCTCTACTGCTTGGACTAAAGGACAAGGACCATTAGTCAGGAGATAGTGGTTGACTCAAAGCTGTATACATGGCCTGACCATTAGAGGGGGACAAAGAGCCATGCTGTGTCAACATAGGTTGCACACTCACCCTGGCTGAGGAAGTTCATCCTAAACTTGAGAAGTCCACAGCAGTTCAAATACCCATATGGGCCACCAATTTGTAACACCTGCACGTGCACACATTGGTTTTTTTGAACCCATACGTTTGGTGCACACTGATGTTCACACGTAACTGCCCCGGCCTGACTTTAGAAATGTGACCCTTGGTATCAGCTGCACGTTGAAAAGGATTGTCGCTGAAATGTCAGCTATAATAGGAAGGCGGGAAGTTTTAGTTTAGAGAGTTATACAGTGAATAATAGTCCTCTCTCTTCCCAACCCCCGCCTTCTTCTTTGAATCCAGTAGTGCCACTTTGGTTTGGCAGGGAAAGGATTGCTTGGGTTTGTATCTTCTCTCTGGCATCAATTGTAGCCTTAACCTGCACACACTTCCCTGAGCTTTGGAACTCCATTCCTGCAGACACACACATCCAGTGAAGAACACAAGTCCTTCTCTGCATCAAGAAAAATAAACTGCTCTCCCCAGAGCTCATGGAACTTGAGTTGCACAATACACGCTTATCAGAAGTGCAGGCTATGTTCCAGTAAAGAGACAGGGAACCGGTGGAACAGCAAACTTTAAATCCAAACTAAATACTGAGTTAAAAACCTTGAAAACAATAAAGTGGGAAGCAATCAGTCATTCTCCAAGCAGGTGCTCCACAGAAAGAAAGGAAAACAAGAAATTACAGAGATGTGCTCTTATTTGGGCAAACGTATTTTCTTTCACTTCAGAGTATTGTTCAGGAGATGCTCAGTGTCTCTGGGGTGAGTTTTATTCTGTTGTTTTAAAAAAGGGTGCATTTTAGAGCTGGTAAAAGGTAGGTAGCTTGACAGTCTCAGAGCCCTAAGTCCCCTATTTACCCACGGAACAGGTCCAAACTTTCTTACACTATCCTGCCAACATACCTCATTCTTGTGTTTAGTCTCCATGTGAATGTTTGGCCCAGGGAATCCTCAGCCTCTCTGCTAAAGTTACGCTTTGGCTGTGGGTGGGTCATTGGCAGTGGGCATCAAACCCAGGACTCTATTGCCTGAGCTAAAAGCCCAGCTTTGTTACTGAAGGCCATAGCAATCTCTATGGGTGGCCTAGCCACCACTCGAGGGGGACAGAACACCACCCTGAGTGGGTGGGTATTACATTAACAAGGGTGCAAATTGTGATGTGGCGCCTGTCCTGCAGGGACTTGACTGAGATAACCAAACTCCTCTCAGATCCACCACGGTGCAGCCATCAGATGGTAACAACCTTCAGTCAATACCAGCCTGGACTGGCTGAAACTAACGGGTGAAATACTCTGCATCTTGTCACCAATCCTCTGAGCCATCCAACATCCTTCTGATCAGGCATGTTAGGCAGTACTTGCGCTGGGGGTGTTTATGTTTAAATGTCATTCAGTGTGTTGCAGGTGCTATGTACATCACCGGGTTTGCGGAATCCATCTCCGACTTACTGGGTTTCAGTAGCACTTGGGCAGTTAGAGGCATTTCACTGGCAGTCTTACTAGGTCTGCTTGGAATTAACCTGGCTGGTGTTAAATGGATAATCCGTCTCCAACTGTTACTGCTCTTCCTGCTGGCTGTTTCTACGCTGGACTTTGTCATTGGATCATTCACGCACCTAGATCCAGGTAAAATTTCATGAATACTTCATGTTTACAGTTGCAAGAGTATTTAACGTGCGTTAAATTTTGTTTTCCTCTTAATTTATGATTCTGTGAATTTAAAAGCTGGATAAAAATATAGACCAAAACTTCTAGAGGTGGATCCCTAAAGTTAGGCGCCTAACCAGAGCCCCTATTCTGCAAACACGTAGGGTATCTCTATAGCCTGAAGTCGACCTATGTTAGCTCGACTTACAGCCACCGCAGTAATTACTGCAGCGGCTGATGTCCACATAATCCTCCTTCTGTTGGAGGTGCACATCCTCATGAGGAGCACTTCCACCTACTGAAGAGGGACTGTGTTGGGGGATGCTGAGAGCCAACAGCTGATGCAAGTAACGCAGTGTCTACACAGACACTGTGCCACCCTAACTTCAACATAAGCCCTACGCCTTTTGTGGAGTTGGGGTTATGATGTCGGTGTAATAAGGCACTTACATCGGCGGGACAAGGTTGTAGTTTGTACACTGACATAATTAGGTTGCCGTAAGCTGCAGCCTAAGATAGAGGTAGACCTGGCCTAGGATACATCCCTAAACACAGGTACCAGTGTTTGCAGGGTTGGGACCATAGGTGCCTAACTTTGCTGTCTAAATTTAGGTAACTACTTTAAAAAGTATTGGCTATAACCTTTTATTGAGTTCTTAGTTTCCGAAAGCTTTCTAACAATAGAAAACTGCCTGCACAGACAGAGTGCTATGTCCAATGAACCAGTTTTTAAAAGAGTTGTATCCATAAAGATTAAGGATAACAAATTTACATTAAAAAGTTTTTCTTATCAGTTTGATGCCTGTAATGGCCTTTAAAAAATAAAACTGTCAGCCTATAATGAATTGCATGACAGCACATCAAACAGTTTAGACAGTACGGGCAATATTATCTAATTTTTTCCCCTTGTGCTTCCCCCTCCCCCCCGCCCCCGTGTGTGTGTCTATATCCACCTTCTGTCACTTGTCTTAGATTGTAAATTCTCTGGGGGCAGAGACCATCTTTTCTGTGTTTGATTCTACAGCACCTAGAACAAGGGGTTCCTGGTCCATGACTGAGGCTCCAATGGGTTACCATAAAACAAATAATAAATAAGAATAATAATTGTCACCAGGAAAATATTCTACTTATAATGTAAAAACCTGATACATATTTGGAGAATAATTTTGAAAATTTTGTTTAGGTTCTTTTTAGATATGCCCTTAGTCGTCATAATCAGCAATTGCTATTGGAGCTGGATGAAATATTAGCAAGAATATCCAAAATGCTTGAAATTTGAAAACTTTTGGCACTTCATTGTGACTTCAATATCAGTCCTCTTTTTTTGTAGCTTTTTGCACTGAAATGCACCACGTTTAGTAACAATTGGTCTTATGTTCAAGCAAATATTGATCCGTTTACAAGCAAAGACATTTTCAGGATCACGGGTGGCCTGGTTATGGAGGGGAATATTTTCTGGGATAAGGAAAGTCTCTTAAGGCTGATTGTGGTCCAGGGTTGGAGACAGACATCGCTGCACTTAATAATAACCCCACAGTATGGAGTAATGTTAACCCTGCGATTTCCTCTAAGCTGGGGGTCATAGAAGCATATTGCATAATGTGTTAGATTGCAATGAAAGGAGTGCATGAATGCTTAAGTGACACTGACCGCAAAAAAGTGCAATTATCCAAATAAACAGAAGGTGTCACTTTATCTTTGATTTCCCTCCATTCCCAAACACACCAGTGTTCTTTTAATAAATGGACAAAGTCCATTTTTCGTTGTCCTTAGTTTTGATTTCAACATTAAAAAAAAATATAACTGCTGGAACAGGGATGGGAAGATGTCACCTTGTAAATATTCATAGCCCAGCTGGTTTGAGAGAATTTCACATCAAGCTATTTTGTGCTTGCAATGCTGATAGCAAGCAGTGTTCTGATGTCACAGGCACAGGACTTAGACCCGAGAGAAAGCATTTTATGATTCTTTGTAGGTAGGACGCTCTGGGAAAACAATTTTTTATTTCATCGTAATAAGTGTTGCAAAATTAAACCTGCTTTACCACTCAACTGATGCTTGGAAAGAAAAGTAAATTGAGGAACGTTGTGCCAGGTACAGAAAATTAAGTTAATGTACTTTTCAAGAATAAAGGAGGCTGTGCTATATAACTAAAGAAAACATTAGGAGGATTCCAGAGTTGTTCACTGTTCAATTAACTTGTCTTGAGTAGAGGGGAACTGGGCCTAAAACTAGCCATCCTTTTTTAATAAAGAGGAAAAAATAGATACAACGTAAGAGAGAGAGAGACACTATGGGTCTGTCTACACTGCAAAAAAAGACCCATGGTAGCAAGTCTCAGAGCCCAGGTCAGCTGACTCGGGCTCATGCTACAGGGTTAAAAATAGCAATGTATTTAACCTAAGGGGCTTGGGCTAAGGTGTGGTTAATTGTGGTGTAGATGTTTAGGCTCGGGCTGGAGCCTGGGCTCTAGGACCCCGTGAAGCGGGAGAGCCCCAGAGCTCAGGCTGCAGGCTAAGCCCCAACGTCTACACCACAATTAAACAGCCCCTTAGCCTGACCCCCACGAGCCCATGTCAGCTGGCATGGGCCAGCTGCGGGTGTGTAATTGCAGTGTAGACATAACCAGAGGCGCTCAGGCTGGAGCCCAGGCTCAGACCCAAGCCCTCGCTGGGTTTCAGAACCTGAGCTCCTGCCCAAGCCCGAATGTCTACACTGCTATTTTTAGCCCTGTAGCACAAGCCTGAGTCAGTTAATCCAGCTCTGATACTTGCTGCCACTGATCTTCTTTTGAAGTGTAGACGTACTTTATAGCAGGAGGACGAATATGGAACTGGAAGGAGAGAACAAAAGGAGGAATATAAGAAATAAAGCGAGAAAGAGAAAACATGCGCAACTTTACAGCTGGAATTTTTTATTCCTTTATTAGTTTTCCTTATGTGAATTTATCTGATAGAAAAGAGAGAGAAGAAAGGAAGGGAGGTGGATGGGAGGTACCCAGTTCAGCAGTATGGAATCTACGGTATATCTGTGGCCTACTTGAGGAGAAGAAAAGTGCCTTAAGGCTGATTGTGGCTCAGGGTGGGAGATGTGGGTCCCAGCATTTCATTCCAAGCTCCCTATCCCCCCCAAGTGTGCAGACTATATCTACTGGCTTAATGCTTGTTTTGAGAAGTCTTCATTTGTGTGATTTACAAATAACTTTATATATGAGAGACTTTTTTGTTTTTTAGTTGCCTGAAAAGTGTATTCATTGGGAAGTCCTGCATTACCCCCAAAGGCCTCTGAGTGGTATCTCAGCCCTGATTGTAAGCACTAGGGCTTTGGAAAGAATCACCCGCTCTGTCTGGATTTCCAGCACTTCCTTTAAAGTGGCGTAGATAAATTAGCCTTGATTGTATCTGTTTACATGAAGCCTTTCCTACGAGGCAACATCTAATGATTTACAGATGATAAATACAGATATTGATAAACCCAGCTGATCTTTTTCACACGTTCTGTTGGTTAATAAATGATTTTGTAACTGCAACTAGAAGGACCCTGTTCAACTAGGCAATAGCTATGCAAGAAATCAAATTAATGCTGCCTGGTTTTGAGGGAAGGGAAGTGTGTGGTGGTTTAAAGACAAATAAATTGTCCTTGGCTTTGGGCAAAATACCAGTCTCAAGAATTACTTCCGCCCTTGATCAGTATTTTACAATCTTTGTCTTCTTGATCAGTATCTTACATCTTCACTATTTGTTTATAATCAACCTTTTGGAGTTTTAGATCTGTTGCGGCAGGCTGCTAAGTTTGGTCACATGAGGATAGTGTGAGTATGTAACAGGCCAGTAAGCTAGGTACCGAGGGCAAGAGAGAGGTATTGTGAGACACAGTGGTCTAGGGGATGAGCATGGATTGGGAGTCAGGTTGTTCTGAGTTTTAATCCTGACTCTGACGCTTATTATCTTTATGACATATGGCAAGTCACGCAACCTGTTTGGGCCACAGTTTGCCCACCTATAAAATGGGGATGGTGGTACTTATGATATTTCTCCATCTCATAGGCTTGCTAAAGGGACTAGTTATTGTCTGCACAGCACTTTGGAAATATGGAAGTGCTATATATTTTTTCTTTGGATTTTTAATAGTCTACATGAATGCCCATCCCATAATAAGGGATGCCCTGGACGCTCATTTAAAAATATTATTATTATTAGGGCTAAGTGATTAAAAAAATTAATCGCGATTAATCACATGATTAATCGCACTGTTAAACTATAATAGAATACCATTTATTTAAATATTTTTGGATGTTTTCTACATTTTCAAATATATTGATTTCAGTTACAACACAGAATACAAAGTGTACAGTGCTCAATATTTATTTTTGATTACAAGTTTTTGCACTGTAAAAAAAACAAAAGAAATAGTATTTTGCAATTCACCTAATACAAGTACTGTAGTGCAATCTCTTTATCATGAAAGTTGAACTTACAAATGTAGAATTATGTACAAAAATAAAACAATGGAAAATTTTAGAGCCTGCAAGTCCACTCAGTCCTACTTCTTGTTCAGCCAATTGCTCAGACAAATACATTTGTTTACATTTGCAGGAGATAATGCTGCCTGCTTCTTGTTTACGTCACCTGAAAGTGAGAACAGGTATTCTCATGGCACTGTCATAGCCAGCGTCGCAAGATATTTATGTGCCAGATGTGCTAAAGATTCAGATGTCCTTTCATGCTTCAACCACCATTCCAGGGGACATGTATCCATGCTGATGATGGGTTCTGCTCAATAACAATCCAAAGCAGTGTGGACCAATGCATATTCATTTTCATTATCTGAGTCAGATACCACCAGTAGAAGGTTGATTTTCTTTTTTGGTAGTTCGGGTTCTGTAGTTTCCGCATTGGCGTGTTGCTCTTTTAAGACTTCTGAAAGCATGCTCCACACCCCGTCCCTCTCAGATTTTGGAAGGCACTTGAGATTCTTAA